TTATTGCTAAACAGTGAAAAAACTGTGCCTGCAACGGACATATGTTCCACTCTGGTTAAATGTGAGTGTAAAACAATGGGCTTATTCTCCATTCCAAACTTCATTTGACACTTCCTGGCTTCCTTGTACACTTCAAAAAAACACGACTTAAACCATTTGATGAAAGGCAAAATCACTAGATGTCCTAATTCTCCTTTATTTATAATCCAGAAAAAAGCCATAAGGTTTTTTTGTTTTTGTTTTGTCGGTTGTGGGACTTGAACTCTGGGCTTGGGTGCTGTCCCTGTGCTCTTCGGCTTAAGGCGAGTGCTCTACCACTTGAGCCACAGCACCACTTCTGGTTTTCTAGTGGTTTATTGGAGATAAGAGTCTCATGGACTTTCCTACCCGGGCTGGCTTTGAACCGTGATCCTCAGATCTCAGCCTCCTGAGTAGCTAGGATTATAGGCGTGAGCAACCCCATAAGGTTTTTACAAAGAGTTGTTACTCAAGGGAACAATATAATTTTGTGGAAAATTCATTCCTGGATAATGTTGTATGGACGTAACATTGTGGTAGTTATGCACTAATTTTTGTAATACTGATTCCTTTATATCTAAAATAGTAATGACTGATCATATTCAATTCATTTTTAGAGCAATAATATTTTATTCAGAAGACTGGGAACACAGATCTGCTAGAGTACTGGTGAGTACTGGTGAACATGCATAATGCACTAGGCTTGCTTCCCACTACTGCAAAAAAGTACTTCATTGAGATTGACATAACAAGACCTGAATATTATTATTAAGTTAGACGATACAGCCAGGTGCTGTTGGCACACATCTGTAATCCCAGCTACTCAGGAGGTTGAGATCTGAGGATCAAGATTCCAGGCTACTCTGGTTGGGAAAGTCTATGAGACTTTTTTTTTTTTTTTTGGGGGGGGGGGTCCGGTCCGGTCGCGGAGCCTGAACTCTGGGCCTGAGCGCTGTCCCTCAGCTCTTCAGCTCAAGGCTAGCGCTCTACCACTTGAGCCACAGCGCCACTTCCGGTTTTTTTCTTTTTGCTTATGTGGTGCTGAGGAATTGATCCCAGGGCCTCAGGCATGCAAGGCAAGTGCTCTACCACTGAGCCAACTTCCCAGCCCCTCTATGAGACTCTTATCTCCAATTAATCACACACACACAAAGGCAGAAGTAGAGCTGTGGCTCATGTGGCAGAGCCAGCCTTGAGCACAGGCTCTGAGTTCAAGCCCCAGTACCAGCACACAGAAAAAGAGGAAGGAAGGAAGGAAGGAAGGAAGGAAGGAAGGAAGGAAGGAAGGAAGGAAGGAAGGAAGGAAGGAAGGAAGGAGTGAGGGAGGGAGGGAAGAAGGAAGGGAGGAAGGGAAAAAAGGAAAGGCAACACAAGAATACATTGAAAATCTTTTAGGAAAAACTTTCATTAGTATTTTAGAAGAAATGCTTCTAATTTTCCATTTCCCCACATTTTAAAAATTGAAATATAACATTTCTACAAAGTGCATAACTGAAATATTCAGATCCATGACTTGTTACAAACGATCTAGTTGGGTAACCAGAAACTAGTTAACAAAGTATTAGAGTACCAAGAAGTCTCCCTTTTACTTGTTAGAACACCTTGTACCCCAAAAGGAAATTCTATTTTGTTTTAACACTGTAGATTCATTTTGCTGTGCAATTGGAATGATGTTCTATAATTTCTCTCAAGTCTAGCTTCTTTTAGCACGGCGTGTAATACTCACAGAAATGGTTGCATGTAGCTGTAACTCATTCATTTTGGTTACTGCATATTCCAGCTTGTGAACATGTAAGAATATTTTTGTTCATTCTATTGTTGATGGATATTTGGGTAATTTATATTTTGAAATAAATAGTGCTACTATGAATACTCTAGAACACATCTTCTCATGAATTCTTGTAAGCACTTCCATTGAGTGGGTACCTAGGAACACTACATAGACTATGCATACTTTCAACTAATATCAAAAGTAATTTAACACTTCCTATGGCATAGCAGAGTGCTTTGGTTTCTCCATTTCTTAACTGATGCTAGTTTTTCTTCTTTAACTATTTTGGTAGGTAACATAGTGGTATAATCAGAACTTACTTGTGTGTGTGTGTGTGTGCTGGTCCTGGGGTCGGTCCTTAAGCTTTTGTGCTCAAGGCTAGTACTCTTATCACTTTGAGCCACAACTCTATTTCTGGATTTTTAGTGTTTAATTGAAGATGCTCAGGGCATTCCTGCCCAGGTTGGCTTTGAACACTGATTCTCAGATCTCAGTCTTCCAAGTAGCTAGAATTACAGGTGGTGAGCCATGGGCACCTAGCTTAGAATTTAGTTTTCAGTGATGACAGGTGAAACTGAGTTCCTTTTCATGTTTATCAGCCATCTGGGTATCTACTTTTAGGTTTTTCTCATTTTTTTTTCCTGCTACTGGGCTGTCTTTTCTTGTTGACTTGTAGAGTTCACCTATTATATGCATACAAGTTTTGTCAAGTATGTGCATTGTTGATAACGTTGTTGATATACAGGCTGCCCTTTCACTACTTTTTTTTTTTGGTCGGCAATGGGGCTTTAAATCTGGGCCTGGGCTCTGGTCTTGAGCTCTTCAGCTCAAGGCAAGTGCTCTACCACTTGAGCCACAGCACTACTTCAATTTTCTAGTGGTTAACTGGAGATAAGAGTCTCACGGACTTTCCTGCCTAGGCTGGCTTTGAACTGTGACCCTCACATCTCCTTGAGTAACTAGGATTACAGGCATGAGCTACCAGTGTCTGGCCCCTTTCACTATATTAATGTTTCTTTTTTTGTCGGTAATGGGGCTTGAACTCAGGGCCTTGTCACTGTCGCTGATCTCTTTTGCTCAAGACTAGACCTCTATCACTGAGCCACAGCTCTACTTCCGGCTTACTGGTGGTTAACTGGAGATGAGTCATGGACTTTCCTGCCTAGGCTGGCTTTGAGACACAACCCTCAGATCGTAGCATCCTGAGTAGCTAGGATTACAGGTGTAACCCCTGGCACCAGGCTTTTAATGTTCCTTCCAATGAACAGAAAATTTTATTATTATTAAATATTTTTATTGTTATTATAAAGGTGATATACAGACGGGGTTACCATTTCATAAGTCAGGTAAAGAGTACAATTTTTTTTTTTTGGGTCCAGTCGTGGGGCTTGAACTCGGCCTAGGTGCTGTCCTTCAGCTCTTCACTGAAGACTAGCTCTACCACTTGAGCCACAGCGCCACTTCCGGCTTTTTTCTTTTTGCTTATGTGGTGCTGAGGAATCGAACCCAGGGCCTCAGGCATGCAAGGCAAGCGCTCTACCACTGAGCCACCTTCCCAGCCCCAAGAGTACATTTCTTTTTGGACAATGTCACCCCTTCCCTTGTTCTCTCCCAGTGTTTCTCTCCTGACCCCACCCGCAAGTTACACAGTGTCTATTGAGTACCACTGTTACATTTGTTTACCTTTGTCCCTCCATTTCTGTGCTCCCCATAATCCCCCCCAAAAGGGAACAGAAAATTCTTAATCACTATATAGTTCAATTTAGCAAAACTCTTTATAATTAGTGAATTTAGGGCCATGGTTAATCAGTATTTGCTTATAACAAGACCACAACATATTATTTTTTATGTTATTTTTCAAAATAAGACATAAAACATAAACTTTCCTTTTGAGATACCAAAATCTTCTGGAACTTATTCTGGAGTAAGGCATGAGGCAAAAGGTCAAGATATTTTTTTCCCACTACATGGTAAGTGTAAAATTGTATGCTAGTCTTCAATTGATCAAGTACCATTATTTTTACAACATCCTCAACATACCACTGTGTTATCACATTTGTCATAAATTAGGTGATGATATGAGTGAATTTGTTTCTGTATTCTAAATGTTGTTTTTAGCTTGGCAATAATACTACACAGTCTTGTTTCAGTTTTTGTAATACAGCTTCTAGCACTGTTCTTTAGTATCACTTTGACTACTCATGCCCCACTGAATTTCTTTAGTATTATATTCCCATTGTTCACACAAAAGCAATGGAATTCTGATTGTGATATTTCAACCTGGGGGGAATCAGTATGACTGAATCTTCCAAACTATTAAGGTGGCATACCACTCCATTTATTTTGAGTTTTCTAATCTTTTTCAATAATGCCTTGAACATAAATGCCATCAAGCCTAGATCTCCAAGAGTATACCTGTAACTGAACAAGTTGGTCCATTTCTCATTGTAGTGGTAGCACATATAATGGAGAACTCTCTCACTTTGAGGTTATGAACAGCACTTATTGTAGGATTGGGGTTTCATATGTAATTTAGGTGATTTTGTGTGTGTGTGTGTATGCGTGTGTGTGCACGCGCATTGGTCCTGGGGCTTGAACTCTGGGTCTGAGTGCTGTCCCTCAGCTCTTCAGCTCAAGGCTAGCGCTCTACCATTTGAGCTATAGCACCACTTCTGGTTTTCTGGTGGTTTATTGGAGATAAGTTTCATGGAGGGTTTGGGAAGGTGGCTCAGTGGTAGAGCGCTTGCCTTGCATGCATGAGGCCCTGGGTTCGATTCCTCAGCACCACATAAGCACAAAGAAAAAAGCCGGAAGTGGCACTGTGGCTCAAGTGGTAGAGCGCTAGCCTTGAGCTGAAGAGCTGAGGGACAGCACCCAGGCCCAGAGTTCAGGTCCCATGACCGGACCAAAAAAAAGTTCTCATGGACTTTCCTGCCCAGGCTGGATTTGAACCTTGATCCTCAGATCTCAGCCTCTTGAGTAGCTAGGATTAAAGGTATGAGCCTGTAATGAAACGTTGAGTTTCAATCTGGACTGGATTCTGTCAGAAAAGGTGTCTTTAGAAATCTTATCTAGATGGGCTGGGAATGTGGCTTAGTGGTAGAGTACTTGCCTAGCATGCATGAAGCCCTGGGTTTGATTCCTCAATACCATATAAAACAGAAAAGGCCAGAAGTAATGCTGTGGCTCAGGTGGTAGAGTGCTAGCCTTGAAGCTCAGGGACAGTCAGTGCTCAGGCCCTGAGTTCAAGCCCAAGGATTGGCAAAAAGAAAAGAACAGAACAGATAAGTTGGCTTTCACCACTGTTGAGATTTTTTGTTGATTAGATGTTAGAGGGTGTAGTTTGAGGGTAGACTCAGGTTAGTCTCTCCTGCTCCATTTGTTTCAGGGTGATTGCTGAATCCTGTGATGTGACAAGAACTGAGTAGTGGTACTGAGGTGTCTAGACAGGATCCATGGGCCAACTGTAACACAAGAAATTGTTAGAAATAAATTATTCCTTACATAATTCTTGAGGTCAGGACCCTATGTTATAAAATTGAGGCATGTATTTAGAAGGCCAGGTCATAACTTATTGATGTGTCCTGTAGTATATACATGCAGAGCACCTGCATATATCTCTATCTCTATATAACAGCAGAGTCAGGTGAACAATGTCGTATCCAATAATCAGTTAAATCCAGAGTGTGGTTTTGAAAAAAAAAATTCAGGTTTCCCTTAAGTGGCAGAAGAAGACTATCTGGAGTCAAAGATAGCAAGATGAAAATAAAAGTAATATTAGTAATAAAACCAATATTCAGAAGAGTGTTTAAAAATAAATCTTTCATGAAATCCTAGCCACTCAGGAGGATGAGATCTGAGACTCAGTTTGAAGCCACCCTAGGAGGAAAATCCATCAGACTCCTATCTCCAATTAACCACCAAAACTAGCCAGAAGTGGAACTGTGGCTCAAGTGGTCAAATACTAGCCCTGAGCAAAAGTGCTCAGGGATAGTGCCCAGGCTCTGAGTTGAAGCCCCAGGACTGGTTCAAAAAAAAAAAAAAAAAAAAAGAATTTAGTTGCATTGCCCTGGGTAGAAGCTGTTATTTTTTTCCTGGAGGCTTCCTAAGAAAACTCCGTTTAAAACTCTTGACTTTTGATGCAATAGAGGAAGTGAGAAGCATGAATAGAAGTAACAATATCTTAAGATTTGTATTGTTCTGCCACTTGTCAGAAGTACCTGAACCAATTAGGTTCAAAATCAGTTTTTTTCTAATTACTATTTGAAAAGAGCAAATTTCCATACTATAGATTATGTATGGTCTGTTTTGGTAGGTACTTTTCCAATGTACCTTGTGTTTGTTAGTGATAAAGCTGGAAGTACTGTATAAATATTTAAGCACATAAACAGGTAAGTGGTAGAATCTGGGGTTGGATATGAATTTCCCAAATGCATGAGATAATCTGTTATTAACTGAACAGGAGATAACCTACCTGTGGGCTACAGGAGGTTTGATCTTATCACTGTAAGGCTAATAACAGTTATTTGGGGCCTTCAAGGTTTGAGAGTTTCTGAGACCATGCCAGTTTTAGTTAACAATTATAACAGTTCTCTCTACTTTTCCTGGATACTATGGACAATACAGTGAAATTTCTCAGTGAAAGGGGGAAATGTACAGTTTAATAAAGTTCTGGGCGCTGGTGGCTCATGCCTGTCATCCTACCAGGAGGCTAAAATCTGAGGAATGCATTTGGAAGCCAGACTGGAACGGGAAGACCATAAGACTCATTTCTCCGATTAACCACCCAAAAGCTGAAAACAGAAGTATGGTTCAAGTAGCAGAGCACCAACCTTGAGTTAAGAAGCTAAAAGCAAGAGTGTGAAGCTCCAAGTTCAAGCTCCAGCACTCATCTGTACATATACAAACATATAAATTCTGGTGAAAATTAAATGCTTCTACCTATATACAGTGGAATTTTACATAGCCATTAGAATAAAATAATGTCATTTGCAAGGAAATGGATGGAACTAGAACAAATCATATTAAGTGAGCTAAGCCAAGATCAGAGAGACAAACGGTGCATGTTCTCCCTGATATGCAGAAAATAGATTTAAAAAGCACTGTGATATGACAAAATAACACATAGTTTTAGATACCCACGTACAGTGGGACCAAAAGAGGATAGTCTTAGGAGAGAATCACAAAGGTGCAATACCCAAATACCTCCTCAAATATATATAAAATAATATGCACACTGAAACAAACTCCAAAGATATGGAAATAAAGGATTTTTCTTAATTAATTTATTTTTTTACTGTGAAAATACTGTACAGAGGAATTAGAACTACATGGGCAAGATAAAGAGTACATTTCTTATCAAGCATTGTAGCCTCCTCCTTTGTTTCCTCTTCCCATCCCTTCCCGTCCTCCCCCAGCCTCCCCACTCAATCCTCCCTGCCCCCCCCAATTTATTTTTTGTTGACTCTGTGCTCTTTATATATGTTGTATTCACATCCACATCTGAGGGAGGGTAATGGGAGGGTACAGAATCAGAGGGAAAAGGGTGAAAAAGTGCAGCAGTGGAGCTCACTGGCTGCACTGTACATTGATGAAAGTGAACTATGCAACTCATTGGTGGAGATGGGAGAGAGGGAATGGGAGACAATGAGGGAACAGATGACACTATGTGAAAGGAAATGTACTTATTTCTGGATTTATGTAAAGGTAACCCCACTGTATATCACCTCTAAAACAATAATAAATTGGGGGAGGGGGACAAAAAAACAAATGCTCTGCCACTAGAGAAAAAGTGGGAATTTGCCAAGTTAGAAGAATGAAAGCAAACCTTTAGTTTTTCTACCAGTAAGGAAAAGTTTCAATCTACATGAACATTAAACAAATCAAAACAAGAGTATGTTCCTAGCCCATTGTAGAAGGCATTTCCACAAAGTCCATTTGGAGGCATTCAGAGCCATAGAATGGTTCGGAACTTTATTGTATCTTCAGTTTTACCAGGATTTAGTTGATGACAGGATGCCTCAGGACTACCTTTAAAATCATGCCCATCTGAAAGCCCCCTCTACACTGTCCCTAATCCTTTCTTTTTTCAGTAGCTGGGGATTAAACCTGGCCTCAAGCATGCTAACCAAAGTACTCTACTAACTGAGCTACATCCCTTCTTTGGAATCAAGACCTTACAACAATTAATTGTGGCTTCTTAAGGAACTGATTTTCTGGGGTTTATTAAGTGGAATGATCTTTTATTTTTACAATGCTATTTCCTTAGGTAAAGACAAGGAATTTAAAAATTTTTTCATTTGACATCCATTTTGTAAAACAGGGATTCCTTCTGAGAGAGGGAACCCTTTTACTCCAAAGCATTCTGAAGCCAAGGGCTCACCTAAAAGTATGTAGTTACAACCAGCTTACTATTTATCTTTTGTTAATTGGTAAGTCCAAGGTGACAGCGATTAATGGAGCCATATAAACAATTTTGTTTCCATGAGCTTATTTTTGCTTTAACTATTCAGTTATATCAACTGTCCAGATTAATGGGTTTCAGTGAGACATTTGCATACATGCACATAAATGGTGCTTTGACCCTCTCTACTCTCCCTCCCTATTACCATTTTTTGCCCTCTTTTCCAGAACCCCAATCCGGTCCCACTTCCCTCAGGCTCTCTTGTTTCCACATACGACAGAAAACTGTTTATCTGGCTAAGTCCTCTTAACATAACTTCCTCTTCTACCGATTTTCCTGCAAATGAAGTGCTTTCACTTTTCAGACGAGTAAAAGTTCATGTGCAGATACTATATATTTTTTTAGTCCATTCACCAATTATTGGCATAATTTGCCTGTTGTGAATATTGCTGCAATAAACATGGGTGTGCAGATATCTCTATTGTATTTGGACTTTTATACCCAAAAGTGGTAATACCTGGATTAGTTGGATTATATCATAGTTGTCCTATCAATGTTTTAAGGAAACTCCACACAGATTGCCATAGTACTGAACTAATTTACATTTCAACCAACAGTGATAACAGTTCTTTTCTCCATGCATCCTTGCCAGTATTATTATTTTTGTTAATTATTATTATGATTAGGGCGAGATGGAATCTCAGTAAACTTTTTAGTTCATAGTTCCTTGATGGATAAAGATGTTGAATATTTCCCCCATGTATTTATTGACCATTTGTACTTTCCTAAGATGTATCTCTTCAGATCACTAGCCCATACATATTCATTGGATTACTTGTTCTGGATATTAATCTTCTACCAGATGAATATCTGGCAAAGAATCTCTCCCATTCTGTAGACTGTCTATTCTCGCTGTTGATTTGTTCCTTTGCTGCATGGAAACTTTTTCATTTGTTGTAATCCCATTCATCTATTCTTGTTTTTATTTCCTGAGCTATTGAAGTCCTTGGTAGGAAATTATGACCTGTTCCAATAGTTATAGTTTCCGAATTAAAATAATTTTAATCAATTAGTTAAAAAACAGGGTTACTCAAGAGAGTTGCTAAAACATCTGTATAGGAAATGGCTCATTACAGAGCAAAGGAATCATAGGGAGTTTCTTTTTCAAGTAAGAGAATGCATAGAGGTGACTTTGAAATGTTGCAGCAACTAATAGTAATAGGTGAAGGAGAAAGCAACCATGAGAGGTTAGGTTACTAAATGAAAGTCACTGACTTTTTTATGTTTATTTCTAAAATTTATGTATCATGAGAAATCACTAAGTTTAATATAGACCTGAGACATATTTCATGTTGATAGCTCTTAGACAAAGTGACTATGTGTCATCTACTGGCTCTAATGAAAACCTCTAACAAGCAACAGGTGTCTAATAATTTCTGTGTAATTGACTCTTGGTGCTTATTCATATGAAAAAAAGGGTAGGAAACATTTCTAAATCTAGAATCTTTGTAACATTCTAGTGTTATGTCCAGATAAGGATTCCCCAAAGACCACCAAGGAGCCGATTCTCATGCAAGTACATGAGAGTAGTTTATTGCAAGCTTGAGCCTGGACTCAAAAACTGTCACCGACACAGTGGGTCAGAGTTGAGAGTCCCAACCTTTCTTTTAGCAGGGTTTTTATAGGGCATAGGGTTGGAGGTTCTTAGCTTGGCAGGTACATGATTGGTTAACATATAGCAAACAAGTCTTGTCACATTCTCGTTGGCTAGGGTATGTGGGCTGAACAGCAAGAATGTTAACTATGCTATCTTATGAGTCTGGAGCTTAGGTACTTTCCTGTCATCCACTCATGGCTATCGCTAGGGGAGTTACGGGCAGAATGTTATTGGGATGTTTCGCAGTTTTTCCAGGAACCTGAGTTCTTACTTTCAGTAAGTCTTTACCACGGGTACTTTCGGTAAAGGCCTTCAAAATGGAGTCTAAGTCCAAAATGGCTGTACTTTGGCTGAGGCCTCTCACTAGGGCAGAACATCATTGTATCAATCTTTGTGCCTAAATA